AGAGCCCAGGCTTCCCAAGTGAATAGAAGACGTGAGCCTCTAACTCTTTCCTGCCTTAGAAGCTACTTAGAAAGGCAGTGTGGGGGCTGGAGGTGTGGCTAAGGTGGTAGAGCACCTGTGAGCAAAAGACCCTGAGTTCAAATCCGAGAGAGAGAGGGGGGGAGAGAGAGGAGAGAGGGGGAAGGAAGAGGGAGGGAGAGGGAGAGGGAGGGACAGAGGGATGGAGAGAAGGGAAAGAATGGCAATGTAACTGGCCAGGCAGTGTGGGTCAGAGGCAGAGCACTAGCATGCTCACAGCGCTGGGTTCCGATCCCAGCTTTGGAATAATAAAGCCAAGAAAGCAGTTGGGAAGTCTGCCCTGGATCTCCCGTTACACGTGAGGCCTTGGGTCTTCACCTCCCCCCCAGTGCTCCATGCCCTGAGGTGTTCCAAGGGTCAAGGGCGACCGTCTCTTATGGGCCTCTATGCCTGCGTCAGACCTAATGCCAGGCTGCTGAAGCCTGAGATGAGCCTGTGGAGCACATGCACCACGATTCTTCAAGGAGACCGAGGCCACCAGCTGCCCAGGCAGCCACCAGCCCCGCTGTGACCGCCCCTTATTCTTCTCTTGCTCTGGCCTTGCAGGCCCTGTCCAGTCAGAAGGCCAGCTAGCCTTGTGCTGGCTGGCACCAGGTTTGACCAGCCCTGAGGGATCCCTCGCCTTTCCCTTCTCTTCGTCCATTCCCGGATCCACTGTCTCCATCCTTCTTTGCTAATGGCCCAAAGGGTCAGGCAGGACAGACGGTTCCCTGTCCCCAGCAGTCCCTCACCACCCCGCTCCTCTTCCGTTAAGCCTCAGGGTGGCTGTGAGCTCCAGGAGCCTTCCACAGGGCTGGGGCAGCCACAGATCCCCACAGAGGTCTTGGTGGCCTGGGCATCTCCAGCCACCCCCCCACCCCCGGGCAGTGTCTCCTTGCATGTATTGAGCACCGAGTGAATGTGCCATGCAGGGCCTGGAAAATTCTAGACTTGGGAAACAGATCACCCTGCTCTATAACCAAGGCAGAGAAGCATGCAGAACATTGTCTGTGCTCAGAAGTGATGGAAGGAGGAGGGAAGGGGGTGGGGAGGAAGGGTGTGGTGGGGACAAAGCAGAAGAGAAGACTCAGAACCCTGGGAAAACTCTGCTTTTCTATCCGTGAGACAGTCAGGACATTGGACCTGTTGTCAGGATGGCTAAGCCACAGGAAGCTGCAAATGCATTTAGGCGAAATCAGATTCTTAACTCTGGCCTCCAGCAAAAGTCAGGTTTTAAACGAAAATTTCCTCTCTGGGCCGGCTGCAGTCACGGCCAAGTGTAAATCCACCTGCCCGTGCCCTGGTGTGATGGGTGGGGGCAGGGAGCCGTCACGACTCAGGGCTTTTCGCTGGATGGAGAAATGGGAGCTGCTACAGGCCATGAGAAACTCCCAACAGGTAAAGAAAATGAGTTTGCAATCTGTTTTCCTGGGAAGATCTCTGGGTTTAATACGATCTGAGGCCAAGCACCGAAACACTTCACTAAAGAATTACATCCTGCTGGAAGAGCTTGGTCCCAAGGATTTTAAAAGTATCTTTTGAAATGCCAGGCCAGGAAGCAAGGGAATCTGATTAACAACCACTAACCCCAGGACCACCGTCCCTATGAGGCCAGTGCGGGGAGGAGGGGGACCCTGGTGTACATGCAGGCACGTGTGCATGTGTGTGCACACGTGTGTGCGTGCACACCTGTGTGTGTGTGTGTGTGTGTGTGTGTGTGTGTGTGTGTGTGTGTGTGTGTGTGTGCTTTCTGTATCCAGGAACCCTGAAAGACAGAGGACAAGGGCAAACAGCCAGCCAGGCGCCGGTGGCTCACACGTGCCATCCTAGCTATTCAGGAGGCTGAGATCTGAGGATCACAGCTCAAAGCCAGCCAGGGCAGGAAAGTCTGTGAGACTCTTATCTCCAATAAACCTCCAGAAAACTGGAAGTGGTGCTGTGGCTCAAGGGGTAGAGCATGCGCCTCAAGCTGAAGAGCTGAGGGACAGTGCCCAGGCCCAGAGTTCAAGCCCCACGACCGACAAAAAAAAAAAAAAAGAGCTAATAGCTTTGGTTTGGGCCTGAGCTCTCACAGACCCTCCTGCCCTGTCCCAGACCCTGTTCATCCCCAGCAGCCCTGGTCCAGGTTGAGAACGGTGGGCATCACTGGGAGAGACAGCGCCGGGCTCTGGCAGGTGGCTCTGGAGTCAGGCTGTGTCTTCTTGCTGGCCCCTCCCGGCCCACAGGGCCCGGCACATGGCGTGTCTGGGTAGGAGCTAGGGCTGCCCCCCTGAGGTCGGGGGTACTTCCGTGTGGGCCCTGGCCCTCTCCCCGGTGAGGTTTCTTCTTCCGGAATCCAGACATGATTCTAATGCGTGCCTTCCTCCCTTGGACCGTTGGAAACAACCCCAGGGTTTTACACCTTGACACCACAGGATGACTCTCCCCAGTTCAAGTTCGTTTAGAACAAGGCATGCGCTCCCTGGGGGTGGGGGCACTCTGTGAACCCCTCGTTCCCCCCACCTTTCCCAAGGAAACAGCAGCCCGGTAAGCCGAGTCCCCGGTGAACACCATCGCCGCCGCCATACGTTATTTTAATGCAGACATCACTTTAAACTAACCTTTTACCATCTGTTCTGCCCTTTCATAACAAATGCAAAGGCTCGTAGTTCTCTGTGCAATCTAGAGAGAGACGTGTGATGGAAAAGCTGTCCGCGTTCCCCTCAGCCCTGCCGCCGCTTCCGTGAGTCTTTCCTTGTCCCACACACAGATCCAGGGCTCGTCGGGCCCTCCGGATTCACTCACAGCGTTTCTTCATAGCCTGGGAGCTGCGGAGGACAGTCTGCAGAGCCGAGGGGCCCCGGGCCCCGGGCTGCGCGGTGCGTGCGGCACCGCTGTGCTGCAGGAGCCACTGCCAAAGGTCCCTGGGAGCAGAGCAAGGGTGCCCGGGTGGTCATAACATAACGACTATATGTACAGACATGCATGCATATGTATATAGATGTATATTTACATCTTTTTTTGCCAGTCCTGAAGCTTGAACTCAGGGCCTGGGCGCGGTCCCTGAGCTTCTTTTGCTCAAGGCTAGCACTCTACCACTTGAGCCACAGCACCACTTCCGACTTTTTCTGTGTATGTGGTACTGAGGACTCGAGCCCAAGGCTTCGTGCACTCTAGGCGAGCACGCTACCACTAGGCCACCTTCCCAGCCCTCCTTAAATCTTTTCAGCAGTTCTATCATTAAATTTCCCCATGAGAGCTGGGCAGCTTGGCCCTGAAGGATTTAGTGACCCGTACATCAGCAACCTTATCCGTCTGTCCATCCTGCCGTTGCTGGAGACCCCCACAGCCCCGCTCCAGGTCCCTGCCTGTCTCCATACTGCGCACGCATCCCCAACACCCCCACGTACTTTGGCCACCCACTGCAGCCTCAAGTCTCCCTGTCATAACCCAAATCCAGAGCACGCCTCGTGTCGGCTCCCTCCCTCCCCAGTTCCGTGACACCCCTTCTGGCACCGGGAACAACTTGGGCTAGGTGACAAGGGGGAGGGCTTTCTCTCCTGGGATCTAGACTTTGTGCCGTTATCAAGTCTGTGGGGCTGCTGCGGGTGAGAACAGAGGTGTTCCCCCACCCCCAGCAGGCAGCTCTGCAGGGCGACCGCTGCGCCCCAGCTCAGCCTGGGCAGGAGCCTTCCCCGCACGGCCAGGCCTGACACCACAGCCAGCTGGAGGAAGGGAAGCCTGGCTGGAGGAGCAAAGCCGGACGTCTGTGCCACCCTGCTCAGTTTCTCCCCAGCCCCGTCCTGTATGAGGGCAGGATTGGAAGCGCCCGCTGACCCCAGAGAGGGAGTAGGCACCCCGGGAGCCCCGGAAGGTCCAGAGCCGACCCTCGCCTCACCATACCTGGCATAAACATCTTCAGATTGCTTCGGCAAGCAATGTTGACTCCCATTGGACCCAAATGGGTCCAGAACACTAATTGTTACAAAGTCATTCTTACAATAGTTGTAGCATTTAATTGTGTTCCAGGTAGAGGTCTCAGGAACCGCTTTGTAGAATGCATTTGTGGTCAGTTCTACTATCGACTGCTGTCCTGGCCCGTGGACTCGGGTGAACTTTGGTGAGCAGTCTCAGAGCTGTGGCCAGACTTGCACATCTGAGGGCTCAGCCTCGTCCACTCCTCACAAGGCCTCCCCCTTGCCCACCCGCCACCCCTTCTCATTAACAGACATTTTACTGCAATAATGAAAGTCATGTGCCACATTTGTCATTCTACGCTTGCCATTTGTTTTCCAAAGACTTCTGTGTATCCAGCCATCCAATAAGAGACAAAATGACCCAGCGGCACATAAAGTACAGAATTTCACATTTTCCATCTCTTTCCCCAACTCAGTCTGAGCTAAGTTATTTGGATTCTGAATTCAGATAAGCATTATTAAGTTGCTTTTCTGTACCATAATGCTGCTCCCGGAGAAGCAGTCGAACGTTTGCATTCGCCTCTGCCCCCAAGCTGGCATCACGCTGTGCTCAGATCCCACCATGAGCCGCCTCCCACCCCACAGGGGACAATTCCGGTGCCTAGAGAAGGCTGCTCTGTTTCCTTGTCTCTGTCTCCAGCTCGCTGGCAGAACAGTGGGCGTGTGTGCACCAGCCTTGGCCTGGTTAAACCACCCATTCCCTTCTTTTGTGTCTGTGTTGGAGATTTCAGCCAGGCATCCCACACTGAACTTGAAATGAGGCACCTTGTACCTCCCTGTCACCTGACAGGCCACTGGACTGAGCGGGTGGTACTGGGGCAATCCCTGGCGGCAGCGTGCCGGTGGCTCCCCGCTGAGCCGAGGTAGCCAGTGCCCTGCCAACACAGCCCAGGGTGAGCCAGGCAGCCAAGCAGGGCCGGGCGTGACAGACCCCACCCTACCCACCCCCGCAGGCTGACATCTCCTCGCGTCTCTCTTCCCCTGCAGATCCGGTCCGACAAAGACAATGACATCCCCATCCGGTACAGCATCACAGGCGTGGGCGCCGACCAGCCCCCCATGGAGGTGTTCAGCATCGACTCCATGTCCGGCCGGATGTACGTCACGAGGCCCATGGACCGGGAGGAGCGGGCCTCCTACCATGTGAGTGTCCTCAGAGGAAAGCGCAGGACGGGTCATCAGAACATTCCCACCCTGCCAGCCCCGGGGAGCTGTCCTGAAGTGTGTCCTGCCAGGCCTCGGGGTCCCGAACCCCAGGGAGAACCCACCCCAGCCAGATGGTCCACGTGCAGTCGCTAGTGCCTTCCCAGAGTAGGCTTTGCTTCCAGCCCCTTCCCTGAGGATGCCACCAAATGTGGGTCGCACTGGGGGCCTGGAAGGCTCCCTCACTCCCCTGGCTATCTCTGAGAAAAGAAAAGCATCTCTGAGATCAGAGCTGCTGTGAACAGGAAGGGGAAATGGTGAGGGAGAGGGGGCTGCGGGGCCTCAGCTTTGGGGGGCTTCGAGCAGCCCACGGGCTCTGGACACAGGAGAGGAGGTGGGGCTCCTCTCTCTGATATGGTGTAGCCCGTCCCCTCCTGAGCCCACTTCTGTGACAAGGAGAGTCTGCAGCCACCACAGGAGGCAGCACAGGCCAGGAGCACCCCAGCCTCAGCCCCCCACCCCCACCCCGCCAGCCAACCTCCAGTTCCCCTGGCCTCCAGCCTCTCCCGAAAGGTGATGAGGCTATAGATGTTAGAAGTCAGGGGTGACTGCAAGGACGGGGCTAGGCTAGCCTAGAGAGTCAGGGCGACTGGTGTGCACGCGTGTGTGTGCACACATGCATGTCCGCATGCCCATGGGTGTGTGTGTGCGCACATGCATGTGTGCATGCCCATGGGTGTGTGTGTGCGCACATGCATGTGTGCATGCCCATGGGTGTGTGTGTGCACGCACATGCACATGTGCATGCCTATGGGTGTGTGTGCACACATGCATGTGTGCATGCCCGTGGGTGTGGGTGTGCACACACATGCATGTCTGCATCCCGTGGGGGTGTGGGGGGGTGTGCGTGCATGCATGTGTGCATGTCCATGTGTGTGCGTGCGCACATGCATGTGTGCATGCCCGTGTGTGCACATGCATGTGTGCATGCCCGTGGGTGTGCACATGCATGTGTGCATGCCCATGGGTGTGTGCGCGTGCGCATGCATGTGTGCATGCCCATGGGTGGGTGGGTGCGTGCACACATGCATGTGTGCATGCCTATGGGTGTGTGTGCACACATGCATGTGTGCATGCCTATGGGTGTGTGTGCACACATGCATGTGTGCATGCCTGTGGGTGGGTGTGCGCGCACATGCATGTGTGCATGCCCGTGGGTGGGTGGGTGGGTGCGTGCATGCATGTGTGCATGCCCGTGTGTGTGCATGCACATGCATGTGTGCAAGCCCATGGGTGTGTGTGTGTGTGTGTGTGTGTGAATGTCAGAATGCTGAACACCCAGCTCCTCGACTGTAATTCAGGAGCAAAGACAGGATCTTCGGTCTCCACCCCCCGCTGTCACATTCAGTGTTCTGCCAGCATTGCTTCAGCTCAGGGCGCCTTCCACAGCCCACTCTGCATCTCAGGCCAGGCCCTGGCCTGGGGATGCTCACTGCCCCTGTGCATTGTGGGAGGAAGTGGATTTTGTCACTGGTCTTGGGGGTCCCCCAACTTGATGTTCCATAAGAAGCAGGATGAGGGCTGGTGGGACCACCAGGAATGGGGTGTGGATTCCCGTCCTCCATCTCTCCCTCCCCCCTCCCCCTGGCTGACCACACACACACACACACACACACACACACACACGCTCTCCAGAGTACGTTCTTCCAGGGCCCAAGTGTGGAGGGGGCTCCCCTGGTCATGGGGCAGGGAGGGAGGGGGGCAGGCAGACACAGGCTCACCCCAGACAGCCAGCGCTGCAGGCCTCACCGCCTCCCTCCTGGGTTCATGGAGGAGCGGGGAGCCTGGTCCAGCGGAGGAACACTGCCTCCTCCCAGGCCTCCAGCGGAGGCCACTTGATTAAATTCCCCATTTCTGAGACGAGACCGATTAGTTTGTAATTGTCGTAATCTTGAAAAGCGTCTCTGCCTCCTGCTCCCTCGCCTCCTGGAGGCCCTGGCTTCAGAGCTGGCTGGAGCTCTGCTCTCACGCAGCGACGCCATTCCTGTCCCCGCTGCGTCTGGCATCTCCAGAATTCCTTCCATTGCTCTGGGAGCCACAGCCCCTGCCAGGGTGGCCGCAGAGCTGCATCGTCCTGCCACAGGTGCCCACGACAGAACCAGTGCCAACAACACAAGGGGCTGCAGGCCTCCGGCCCTCTGCCCACCGCTGCCACGGTGAGCCAGGCCGGCACCTGCTTTGCCCAGGTGCCAACTCTGGAGCGCTAGCTCCTGGTGGAGGCAGAGCTCCTGCCCCAGACAGATTAGGAATTCAAGATGGTGGAGTCATCGAATGAAGTTAATCAGCATGTGGAGCCCTTCCGAGAGCCGAGCCTGTGTGAGAGAGGCCTCGGGTGCCCGCTCCACTTGGAGCAGTGTCAGATGGACGGTGCCCTCCGCTGCCTGCGGCGGGGTGCGGGGAGGAGAGGCCGGGACTGCACACAGCTACGGAGGATCCCCGCCCAGGGAAGTCTTGAAGCTGGAGATCCGTCCACAACAAGAACAATGTCCCAGGACAGCAGGAGTGGCTGGAGCCCAAGGGGCAGGGATCTGCGTCCACAGGATGTGGCCCTCTGCTGGGAGCCTCCTGTCTCACACCACTGCTCTGGGGGCCTCTCCCACACGTGCCTCCAGTGTCCCAGACCTGGGAAGATCCCTCTGGGCTGCGCGGAACGGGGAGGGGGAGATCCGACCACAGTGACCTGGTGTGGCCTTAGCTCACCGTCCGCTGCCACAGCATGTCCTCAGAACCGAGAGGACACTCCGCTGAACCCTGTGCTCTTCCTCCGCCCTCCGGGGCACAGTCACCTAAGCATGGCGGCCAGCTCCCAGGATGGGCAGTGCCCTGTGTCCACACAGCCCTACGACAGCTAAGACCCTTTCCCCTGAGAGCAAGCGCGAGAGCTTCCAGACAGCAAAGAGTCTAAATGTGGGGCAGAACGAAGGACCGACATTTAGCCTCTTGCCTGTGAATTCCTCCGTGTATTTCTGCATTTTTCTAATCAAAGCACGATGGCGGCTCAGGCACCCCACGTTCCAGGCGCAGCCTCGGGTGACAAATGTGGACAAGCCACTCTGCTCTCCGCCCGCCTGTTGCTGGAGGGCGCAGGGCCCCAGGGGTGAAGGCTGCCGGACGTTCCCTGGGGACCCGCACCCCTGCGTGGCCTCCTCATGGTGGGACAAGTCCCTTGGGAGCCTGACCTCAGGGTCAGCTCACTTCGCTCCTGGCCTTCTGCTCTCCTCCAAATCTCTGGAGCAGGTCCCCATGCAGCCACCGGCTGTGCAAGGTCACTCATGTGACCCAGCATGGCCAGAGACCCCCCAGGAACCTCCAGGACTCCCACGGGGGAGAGCCTGCAGAACAGCCTGGAACTCAGCCTCACAGCTCTGCCCGAAGCCAGGGGTCAGGCACACAAGGCCAGAGGCCAGAATGACCACCCTGACATCTGTTGCCCACCCCTGCTTACACACAGGTCCCCGTCCACACTCCAGGGTCAGCCTGTGCAGAAGAAGCCAGGCCCTGCTGGGCTTGACAAGTTGGGCTCCTTTTTCCTGTGTTTTTGTTTTTGTTTTGTGGTCCTGGGACTTGAACTCAGGGACTGGGTGCTCTCCTTGGGCTTTTTCGCTCAAGGCTAGCACTCTACCATTCTGAACCACAGCTCTAATTCCAGTTTTCTGGTGATTAACTGGAGATAAGAGTCTCACAGATTTTCCTGCCCAGGCTGGCTTTGAACCATGATCCTCAGATCTCAGCCTCCTGAGTAGCTAGGATGACAGGCATGAGCCACCAGTGCCCAGCGTGGCTTGTGTATTCTTGATTGACCCATCTCTAAAGCCTTCCTCAGCTCCGTCAGAGAGGCCTGCTGTCTCTGACAAGCCCCACGGAGAGCTGGGGCGAAGGCTGCTGGGTCCCAGGAAGCCCGGATCTGTTCCTGGGCTGGAGAGGAAGGTGAAGTGCCGTCCCCTCCGCCCACCCCCTGCCCACCCGCCCGCTGTCCACCAGCCCTGTCCATGGATGCGTGCAGCCCTGCCCTCCTTCCCCACCCTGGCAGGGCTGGGAGGAGAGAGCTGCTGTGAACACGGCTCTCCACGAGGCCTGGTGTCGGCGACTTCTCTAGGCTCCTCGGTCTCCTTGCCGGTCATTCAGCCATGGCCACTCTCACCCCCCCAAAGGGCACCCACCTTCCTCAACATGGGGCCCCACGCTTTGACCCCGCAACGGTGTGTGAACAGCCCTCCTGCTGTCCCGTCCTGGCCTGGCCAGCCAGAGGAAACTCCGCCTCCAGACAACCGTGGCGGGCAGGCCAGGCAACGCTGACACTCAGGCAGCATAACCCAGCCCTGGGCACAGGGCCTCTCCTGCCACATCTGGAGCCAGTGGCATTTGTGTCTGGGGGCACTTTTCTAGCGGCCATTTTTATCTCCTCCTCCACAGTGCCCTTGAAGCCATACTGCCCGGCTCTGCTGATGAAGGTTGCAACCGAGTCCGGCCTGGCAGTGTGGTAATGATTTGTGGACATCTGTCATCTTAAGAAAACCAGTGTGCAAACATTCTATAACTGCCGGGCAAGATGGTATGCTAGAAGGTTCTTTTAAGGATACCATGAAGAAGAGACACCACTGTGTCCTGCTACATCATATCACCTTGGTCAACTTCCCTCATTTTCCTGGGCCTCAGTTTCCCCATCTGCACAGATGAGCTGGGACCAAAGCCAGACTTGTGGGAGGCCTGTGGCCATGAGGACAGGGGAGGGGAAAAGAACCATCAGGCTGTGGTGAGCCCCGAGCAGGCACACACTGAGATCTGACTGCTGGCACTGCCGCTGGGGAAAATCTCAAAGCAATTCCAAGGCAGGGTTCAAGGTCTTCACAGACTTCACAGTTCCTGACCCTCAGAGGAGACCTGCCCACTGAAGAGGCGTAGAGAGAGGAGGCAACCAAAAAGGAGAAAACCGGACTCCATCTACATCATCAAGGCCTCTGCTCCCAAGTCCACCCCCAGCCCACACACGAATGTCCACACGCGCATCCACCTGTCTTTCCCACAAGGAAGGAAACATGGCATTGAAGGCATCACACGAAGCTCACTTTGTTCACAAGGCTCAGACTCGAAAGCTGCAGAGACCATGGGCAGCTAGCCAACTGACGCTTTTCCCCTCGCAGAGCTCCAGCCCTCGAGCCTGAGCACTGGGGAGCGGGGGATTTCCAACAGAAGCCGTCTGGAAGACCAACGAGAATGTAGACCCGTGGGCCCCCGGACGTGAGTCTGCAGCTACGCCCGTGTCTGACCTGTCAGAGCGCACTCATCGCCTTCCCGGTCCAGCCAGACTGCAGTGCCTAAAAGCACAGTGCCGCAGTAACCACTTTCATTCCAGCAGAGTCACTTTGTTCCAAAGCTCCTGGACCTCTGATGTAACAAGTCATTGCCCGGCTTCGGCTGACGAGCCCAAGGACAACTGGCACTTGTGTGGGACGAGGCCATCCGCTGACAGGGTCTGCACCACAGAGCCACAGCCACGTGACAACTCCCCACTTCTGTTACACACCGATGGGACGAAGGCTTGCACTCAGACCCTGTACTTACCAGGCAAATGCTCTACCCCTTGAGCCACACCCCAAGCCCTTTTTGCTCTTCTTTTTCAAACTGGGTCTTGCATCTGTGCATGGCTGGCTGGGGCTTTGAGCCTCCCATTTTGTTCCCTATCAGTGGGACAGTGAGCACCATGATGTGCCCCATTCTGTACCGTGAGACAAGGTCTCCCAGACTGTTTGTCCTGCCTGGCCTTGAACTACAATCTTCCCTGATCTTAGCCTTAGTAGCTAGGGTTGTAGGCATAAGCCAGTGCGCCTGGCCTGGTCATTCAAGATTTCTAACCATGACATTCAAAACTCATGGGACGCTGAGCAGGCCAGAGTTGCGCCTCCCTGGCAATCAGCCCCTCTCCTTACCACGGTGCACTCGCGGCCTTCCTGATAAAGCCAGACCACAGACACCCCTCCCACCACACAGCCCAGCGCTCGAGGCTGGAGCTCCACTCAGGCCTGTCAGAACTCAGCCGAAGCACAGATGCCCAAGACACGCTGCACTGCGCTCAGGCTGACCCGCGGTCCCAGGGAGGCCTCCAGGCCGGAGCCTGCACACCCTGGCACAACTTGCCTCAAAGACATTGCCACCTGCTTGGGCCCACTGAGAGGGAGACTTTCTTCAGTAGAGCCAGAGCTGTCAAGCTGGGAGGAGCACAGCTTGGCTTGGGGGACCCCAGGCAAGCCCTTCTCCCCAGGGGTCAGTTCTGCCTAAATCCCAGGTCCTCCATGCTCCCAGGCCAGCCTCTTCTCCTGCAAGAAGAGGTCAGCCACTCTGTGTCCTTGTCCATGAATGAATGAATGAATGAAAAAATTAAAAATGAGTCCACAGCCGGAGTTCTTCCCTTGAAGGCAGTTTGTGGTGGAGCTGCTCAGGCCACAGCCACCACCACCACCCCTCCTACAGGGCAAGGGGCGACTTCTCGTTTCAGCCCCTCCCTAGGGACACCCTTTACGGCAGCCCCCTGGTCCCCTGCTATGCCCAGCCCTAGAACTTGGGCAGCGGGCAGAGGCAAGGAGGCCCGGCTCTATGTGGTAGACTCTCACCAGCCTCCTCCATGCCAGCTCAGGCCTCTGCAGCCCCCACGCAGCCCCCTCCCCGGCTCTCCCCATCCAAGAGGGACTCTTGGCAATCAGTGTCAAAGCCCCTGCTCCACTGGGAGGAAGCGTTCTCCCGCCTGCCCGCCCCGCCTCGGACAGTTGACAACAGTCTAACAGACCGGGAGCCGATAGCTGATGTGCCCCTCCACAGCCACACACAGGCACACACACACACACACACACACACACTCCACCCAGGTGTCCTCTGCCATCCTTGGGCCCAGGAGCTGCTTTACCTCCCCCAGGGAGACCCGCAGGGCCCCGGCTCTGACTGCTCCACGTTGCTTCCCAGCTCCGAGCCCACGCTGTGGACATGAATGGCAACAAGGTGGAGAACCCCATCGACCTGTACATCTACGTCATCGACATGAACGACAACCGGCCCGACTTCCTCAACCAGGTCTACAACGGCTCTGTGGACGAGGGCTCCAAGCCAGGTGAGCCGGCCGCGCACACGCGCACGCTCCCTGCTGTGTGCTGGGGACACCAGGGGCTCTGTGGGCACAGGTGGGCAGCGGGACAGTCCACAGGCCCACACCACCGTGCTGGCAGCACAGACTTGCCCACTGACAACACACAACTGGACAGAAGTGGAGCCCTTGCCGCCCAGGGGGCTGCAGGCAGGTGACACCGCGCCCGTGAACTGCCCTGGCTGTGGAAACACAGGTGCCACAGCCATGGCATGTCGCAAAGCAGGGCAGGCCTCCCGGGAGGCGCTGTGTCACGCTGTGGAGGGGTGTGTCACCGCTGTGGAGGGGTGTGTCACTGCCCTGGAGGCGCTGTGTCACCGCTGTGGAGGGCTGTGTCACTGCCCTGGAGGCGCTGTGTCACCTCTGTGGAGGACTGTGTCACGCTGTGGAGGGGTGTGTCACTGCCCTGGAGGCGCTGTGTCACTCTGTGGAGGGGTGTGTCACTCTGTGGAGGGGTGTGTCACCTCTGTGGAGGGGTGTGTCACGCTGTGGAGGGGTGTGTCACGCTGTGGAGGGGTGTGTCACGCTGTGGAGGGCTGTGTCACTCTGTGGAGGGCTGTGTCACTGCCCTGGAGGCGCTGTGTCACCTCTGTGGAGGACTGTGTCACGCTGTGGAGGGGTGTGTCACTCTGTGGAGGGGTGTGTCACCGCTGTGGAGGGGTGTGTCACTCTGTGGAGGAGTGTGTCACCTCTGTGGAGGGGTGTGTCACGCTGTGGAGGGGTGTGTCACCGCTGTGGAGGGGTGTGTCACCTCTGTGGAGGGGTGTGTCACGCTGTGGAGGGGTGTGTCACCTCTGTGGAGGGGTGTGTCACCTCTGTGGAGGGGTGTGTCACTCTGTGGAGGGGTGTGTCACGCTGTGGAGGGGTGTGTCACTGCTGTGGAGGGGTGTGTCATGCTGTGGAGGGGTGTGTCACTGCTGTGGAGGGCTGTGTCACTCTGTGGAGGGCTGTGTCACACTGTGGAGGGGTGTGTCACCTCTGTGGAGGGGTGTGTCACGCTGTGGAGGGGTGTGTCACGCTGTGGAAGGGTGTGTCACGCTGTGGAGGGGTGTGTCACTCTGTGGAGGGGTGTGTCACCGCTGTGGAGGGGTGTGTCACTCTGTGGAGGACTGTGTCACGCTGTGGAGGGGTGTGTCACACTGTGGAGGGCTGTGTCACGCTGTGGAGGGGTGTGTCACCGCTGTGGAGGGGTGTGTCACCTCTGTGGAGGGGTGTGTCACGCTGTGGAGGGGTGTGTCACCTCTGTGGAGGGGTGTGTCACGCTGTGGAGGGGTGTGTCACTCTGTGGAGGGGTGTGTCACGCTGTGGAGGGGTGTGTCATGCTGTGGAGGGCTGTGTCACCTCTGTGGAGGGCTGTGTCACCTCTGTGGAGGGGTGTGTCACCTCTGTGGAGGGGTGTGTCACCTCTGTGGAGGGGTGTGTCACTCTGTGGAGGGGTGTGTCACGCTGTGGAGGGGTGTGTCACTGCTGTGGAGGGGTGTGTCACGCTGTGGAGGGGTATGTCACGCTGTGGAGGGGTGTGTCACTGCTGTGGAGGGCTGTGTCACTCTGTGGAGGGGTGTGTCACGCTGTGGAGGGGTGTGTCACTCTGTGGAGGGGTGTGTCACTCTGTGGAGGGGTGTGTCACACTGTGGAGGGGTGTGTCACTGCTGTGGAGGGCTGTGTCACTCTGTGGAGGGGTGTGTCACCGCTGTGGAGGGGTGTGTCACACTGTGGAGGGGTGTGTCACGCTGTGGAGGGGTGTGTCACGCTGTGGAGGGGTGTGTCACTCTGTGGAGGGCTGTGTCACACTGTGGAGGGGTGTGTCACCGCTGTGGAGGGGTGTGTCACTCTGTGGAGGGGTGTGTCACTGCTGTGGAGGGCTTGTCACTCTGTGGAGGGCTGTGTCACACTGTGGAGGGGTATGTCACGCTGTGGAGGGGTGTGTCACTGCTGTGGAGGGCTGTGTCACTCTGTGGAGGGGTGTGTCACGCTGTGGAGGGGTGTGTCACACTGTGGAGGGGTGTGTCACCGCTGTGGAGGGCTGTGTCACTCTGTGGAGGGGTGTGTCACTGCTGTGGAGGGCTGTGTCACTCTGTGGAGGGGTGTGTCACGCTGTGGAGGGGTGTGTCACACTGTGGAGGGGTGTGTCACTGCTGTGGAGGGCTGTGTCACTCTGTGGAGGGGTGTGTCACTGCTGTGGAGGGCTGTGTCACGCTGTGGAGGGGTGTGTCACTCTGTGGAGGGCTGTGTCACACTGTGGAGGGGTGTGTCACACTGTGGAGGGGTGTGTCACCGCTGTGGAGGGGTGTGTCACTGCTGTGGAGGGCTGTGTCACTCTGTGGAGGGCTGTGTCACACTGTGGAGGGGTGTGTCACACTGTGGAGGGGTGTGTCACCGCTGTGGAGGTGTGTGTCACCTCTGTGGAGGGGTGTGTCACCTCTGTGGAGGGGTGTGTCACACTGTGGAGGGGTGTGTCACACTGTGGAGGGGTGTGTCACTCTGTGGAGGGCTGTGTCACCTCTGTGGCGGGGTGTGTCACCTCTGTGGAGGGCTGTGTCACCTCTGTGGAGGGGTGTGTCACCTCTGTGGAGGGGTGTGTCACTCTGTGGAGGGGTGTGTCACGCTGTGGAGGGGTGTGTCACGCTGTGGAGGGGTGTGTCACCTCTGTGGAGGGGTGTGTCACCTCTGTGGAGGGGTGTGTCACTCTGTGGAGGGGTGTGTCACGCTGTGGAGGGGTGTGTCACGCTGTGGAGGGGTGTGTCACCTCTGTGGAGGGCTGTGTCACCTCTGTGGAGGGGTGTGTCACGCTGTGGAGGGGTGTGTCACCTCTGTGGAGGGGTGTGTCACACTGTGGAGGGGTGTGTCACGCTGTGGAGGGGTGTGTCACCTCTGTGGAGGGGTGTGTCACTATGTGGAGGGGTGTGTCACTCTGTGGAGGGGTGTGTCACTCTGTGGAGGGGTGTGTCACGCTGTGGAGGGGTGTGTCACGCTGTGGAGGGGTGTGTCACGCTGTGGAGGGGTGTGTCACACTGTGGAGGGCTGTGTCACTCTGTGGAGGGCTGTGTCACTGCTGTGGAGGGGTGTGTCACTGCTGTGGAGGGCTGTGTCACTCTGTGGAGGGCTGTGTCACACTGTGGAGGGGTGTGTCACACTGTGGAGGGGTGTGTCACACTGTGGAGGGGTGTGTCACGCTGTGGAGGGGTGTGTCACTGCTGTGGAGGGCTGTGTCACACTGTGGAGGGGTGTGTCACGCTGTGGAGGGGTGTGTCACGCTGTGGAGGGGTGTGTCACACTGTGGAGGGGTGTGTCACGCTGTGGAGGGGTGTGTCACTCTGTGGAGGGGTGTGTCACCTCTGTGGAGGACTGTGTCACGCTGTGGAGGGGTGTGTCACTCTTTGGAGGGCTGTGTCACTGCTGTGGAGGGCTGTGTCACGCTGTGGAGGGGTGTGTCACGCTGTGGAGGGGTGTGTCACCTCTGTGGAGGGGTGTGTCACTGCTGTGGAGGGCTGTGTCACACTGTGGAGGGGTGTGTCACGCTGTGGAGGGGTGTGTCACCTCTGTGGAGGGCTGTGTCACTGCTGTGGAGGGGTGTGTCACCTCTGTGGAGGGGTGTGTCACGCTGTGGAGGGGTGTGTCACACTGTGGAGGGGTGTGTCACGCTGTGGAGGGCTGTGTCACACTGTGGAGGGGTGTGTCACTCTGTGGAGGGGTATGTCACGCTGTGGAGGGGTGTGTCACTCTGTGGAGGGGTGTGTCACTCTGTGGAGGGGTGTGTCACGCTGTGGAGGGGTGTGTCACGCTGTGGATGGGTGTGTCACGCTGTGGAGGGGTGTGTCACCTCTGTGGAGGGGTGTGTCATGCTGTGGAGGGGTGTGTCACCTCTGTGGAGGGGTGTGTCACGCTGTGGAGGGGTGTGTCACGCTGTGGAGGGGTGTGTCACTGCCCTGGAGGGGGTGTGTCACCTCTGTGGAGGGGTGTGTCACGCTGTGGAGGGGTGTGTCACTCTGTGGAGGGGTGTGTCACCGCTGTGGAGGGGTGTGTCACGCTGTGGAGGGGTGTGTCACTGCCCTGGAGGGGGGGTGTCCCGGTCCGGAGGTGTAGACTGGGCACCAGAGTGGGAAGAGGAGCAGCCAGGGCGGGGCTGAGGCAGGCAGGTGTGCCGGGAAGAAGCCTGGAACAGGAAAGAGCACAGGCCAGGGTCTGGGGAGACGCGGCCAGAGACCGAGACCCACCCTGCGAGACCTCCTGGCCTGGACTTGGGATTCGGTTCCAAGCCTCCAGAAGTCAGTCCCCCTGGAGCTCGCCGAGAGCCTGCCCCATGGACCGCGGTGATCACGTGGCTGTATGCCGGCCCGGCCTAGCGTGAGTCCTGCCGTGGCCTCCAGTGTGCATCCGCTCACTGACCGGAAACAGTCCTGAGGCCCCGGGAGGGCAGCACTCGGGGTAGGCGAGCGAGATCACAGGTGCCTGCACCCTGCCCTGCTGCGGACCAGGCCGGCCCGTGGGCAGCAGCAGCGTCGGAAGAGCCTGCGGAATCCTGAGCGGCCCCAAGCGGTGGCCGGTCAGTGGAGCTGACAGGCCCCCAGGGTTTGTCAAGAAAGGGCTGCCCCCACTGCCGGCCGCTACAGGGAGCGGAAGGAGGCCCTCCTTGGACTGATCTGGCCTGGGTTGGCGGGCGGGGGATGAGGCCTCAGGGGAGGGCTCTGCTGGGCCATCAGAGTAGCCATGGCACTAAAAGGCGTCCGTCCAGTTAAGTGGGTCGTGCACCCTCTGACTGGCCCCAGCAGGGCAGGCTTCTGGGCCCCGGGGAGCTGGAGGCCGCGTCTGAGCAGGGCTGGTTTGCGCTGAGTCCCCTCCTGCTCCACAAGGCCTCAGGGCGGGAAGGCAAACATTTGTCATCTGGCCTCCCAGTTCTCTCAGCGCTGTCTCCAGGGCTTCTGTCTCTACAAGGCGATTGATGGTCTCTCAGGATGGGGACACTCAGG